ATGTAGGGCAGCTATAAATATCCTCGGTGGTATTACGTCTCCTCGTCGAACGTCATTTTCATGAAGCTGTACATTACCAGATGCGTTTTTATAAATCGTAGCGATAAGGTCACTATAACCTTTTTCCCTGTCTCCTCGGGGAATCCAAAAAAGAACGAAATTTGGACCGATTCGAAAGCCATGTCGAAATCGATGAACCTCCTCAGGCAGAGAGGAAGCTGATATTCGTAGCTTGTTTAAACTGCTTATTGTACCATCTGAAGAGAATCCACCGGTCTAAATCCAGTTCTGAATTCTGCTTCTTCTTTGCCTGTCCAGCGTCCAGTGTTTCGTGAATTCTCGTCAGTACCTTTGTGAAGTGATCGGCAGATGGTTGGCAACAGACCGATTGTACTGTAATTCTTCAAAACCTGTCAGTCTCTTTTTGTGAAGTAGAATCACCGATGAGGTCATTCAATCATCTTGAATCTGTAGCTGCTTCAACCAGCGTTAAAATAGGCACTCTAACATCTTAGTGTTTCATCTCCCCATTCAACGAGTTACACCGTAATGCCTTCCACTAAGAGCCTTACTCGTTTTGACTGTTTTATTGCATGTCTCACTTCTTCTGGCAAGAGTTCTGTAATTTTGTCGACTTCATTTAGATCTGCAAGTTCCTTCTCGTTACCTAGGACGTTGCTGTGTTTATTTTGTACAGTTTTATGTGGAAATCTGCAACTCTTTTGAGCATCTTGTGGCGGTCGGTGACGACTGTCTCCCCTCCTACTTTAAGAGCTAAAGCTTTTCGTTTCCCGACCGTCAGTCGTAAATTTAATTTTTATATGCTCACTTTGCTTTCAGTTGTTTCTTTTACGAATCTGTAGTTGAATGCTCAGATGTTTTACTTTTATCGGTTTATAAAAGTAGAGTAAAAACAATATAGTAATATACATATGAAACACAAACAAATAACAACAAACAAGATGTAGAATGAAAAGACTAAGAATAGTCAATGATGAAGAACATACAGAGTTATAGATATGAGTTTGATGCGGGTTTACAGGAGCAAATCGCTTCGTGTAGATTCCGTCATTCCCGTTCCTCGTTCTGCACTGTAAGACCCATCTACGGGATCAGATTTTATGTATCGTTCGGTCCTCGCAAAGATGCAGACCTAGTGGGACCTGTAAGTGCACTTTGAAAGAAACTGGTGCAAAGGATGCAATAGACCGGTAAGTATTAATTTACTAGGGTTTACAATAATTTTAAAATCTGATCTGCCACTGCGCTTATGATATTCATAAAAGACGGTTGATCTGATCTGCCTGCAATTTTCAGAACCATTCGAAGTTTGCGTATGCCCACTGTACGGGTGAAGGAGACAGATTGGCGAAGCATATGCAATAAGAGACAATAGACAATAATAAGACAGGTTCATAGAAGAAGCTCCATTATTTCTTTAGGAGTTTGTTACTAAGTTAGACTCTTCGAAATGCTTATGTAATGTACTGAAGTATTGACTTTCGCATATGATGCCACAAAAGAAAATCTTGCGCTGAGTCCTGTCCATCCCTTGATTTCACAGTGAAATAGAGGGAACGAAGCAGTGAGTTGACGTATTGCCGGAATGCTGGTTGATCCAAATGAACATTCTTTTGTTTCACTGTGATTGACGTATAACCGAATTTCCTCTGACCAGTAGTGCTGATTAGAGGTGACTGGGCAAGAAAGTGTTTTTGTCAGATCATATACTAAAGTACAAATTACGGTAATCGCGATATTTTATGTATTTATTTGGAGGGTTGGTTTTGCATGCATAAAGTTATGCAGTGAAGGCCAGTAGATATAGAATCGATCTCTATAGAGTATTTAAAGTTACTTGGCAGAGTAGAAGATTTGCGACGGTTGTCTGGTACGAATTGACTGCAGTGAGAGAGGTAGTTGGTCAACCAGCGCATTTTAAGTGGATCATTACCGAGAGAACAAAAATTGCTGAACATTTGGAGTGCATTATAATTATTATACCTATGAGGTGCTTCTCCAGATAATTTTCGTATGTGCCTTTGGACAGCTTTGCACGGTTCCTCATCAGCAACTGAACAAAACTGAATTAAAATTGGTTCGGGAAGGCACCATTCGCAAAACGCTCGGCTACTTCAATTCTACAGATGCTCATTTTCCTTCAAGCCAATGTAAAGCGAGTGCAGAGTTCATCGATCTCGTTTGCAACGTACGTTTCCTTTAAGCAAGTGGATGTAGAGTCGCGTTACTTCGTCTGTTAACGTGCCTTCGTAAAGAAGCCGCTCGTTTGATTTGTCACATTCGTGGACGCTGCCGATACACGACGGAAAATGTCATTTGTATTAATGATCGGTGATTCGCTGAGCGGAGAGCTGCTAAACTGAATGCGGGGCAAAATCCATCATTCGATGATGATGCGTCATCGTTCACCTGGAAATGCCTGAGACTCATGTGACGCAGTCATTCATGACAACCTTACCTCAAAGTTATGGTAAATCGAATAATTCTTCGGGCAAGTTTTTCTCAGCAGATGAGATAAGCATTTACTTTGAGGGAACGGCCCTAGCTTGCTCGTACGGTTCGTCTAAGCTCTTTCGTCAGTGAATGAACACCAACTTATATTCATATGTCAGAGTATGTTAAATGACGTATAACTCCTGCAGAACATGATTTCATGAGGGGTATTACACGCTCCAACCTCCCCCCCTCCCGCCCTGCTCAGTGACTTGGCTTTGTTTTTTATACACTGCATTTTTTGACCCTTAAGAAATCGCGTCGGGTCTCTATGACACGAGTAATATTTTAATTGACGAAACTTAATATGTAGAAAAATCGTGAGGGAACCAGGGTCCAGTATAATCTTCTAATTTGTTTGTAATCTCCATTCAGTGCTGCTAAGTCGTCGAGAGTATATGTAGTCTATGAAAATATCAAGCTTTGGTTCGACGCAAGTTTGACGTCTTGAAAAATTTTCATGAATCAGTGTTTTTTATTGTTCCTCTATACTGTGGTGATATATCGAAGAAAAAATTCATTTTTTAAAATTCGCTCTAAGAATATTTGCGAATATTGTGGGGGAAAATATGTAAAATATATCTTACCTAATTTGCATTTAAAAAAACTCGAAGTGCTTTAATAAAGCTTGCAATTTTTGTTCTATTCCACAGATCCGTGTTTTTTAATGTTCCTCTCTCTTGCTGAGTTAATTCAAAGAAAAAAAGCCATTGGTATTCTTAAGGGTAAATTAATAGGTCGAAAGTATGACCCAATGCCAGTAGTGATATAACTTTTTGTTACGCGAATACTTAAAGGTTGAATCCGTGGTGTGCTTAGTTGGCTCAGTAGATGATTAGGAGCAAGGGGCGGTGCAATATTACGGAACAACCTGGTGTAATGATCTCCATCCGCCACACACTGCCACAGTATCGAGGTAAAATAAGTAACTTTGCGGTTTTCGCTGTGCAAATCCAGTATTAGCCATTGAAAAGGAAATGTGGTATTATAGCAATATCTGATTGGTTCGCGAGAAAACTTCGTCATTGATAATATCATGATTGCATAACACTTGGATTGGAAAACGTTGTTACAGCCAAGAATCGGGGGCTTGCTTGCTGTCTAAGTATAAGTTTTCATTGTTACTGATTTCATTGAACACAAATGGGTACTGACAGATGAGGAAATTGTGGTCAAGGGTAGTCACAGAACTTGTAAATCAACTATTTACTATTTATCATTTTAGGCGAGGCCTTTTCTTCAGAGGTTAGATGACGCTGTGGGAGAGGGGTGCGGGTGGAGCGGGAGTTTGATTCGAGCACTAGCCGCGACTGAAAAGAAATATGGAGGCTATTATACCCCGTAAACGGTTTCCACAAGTTATGCATATCACCTGATTCAATAAAGCAACCCAGGCTTTTAAATTTTTAAGGCTATTCAGGAATTGAGGGGGTACGATGAGAGGGTAAATGGCGGTTTCGAAAATGTGGTCGACGTTTTCGTCGCAGCCGTTCTCATAACGATCCGTCATGCGTTCACAAAACACACGGCAATCACGCAGCTTGTTAGACGGTTCTCGCAATTAGCGTGTATCACCGCCAATTTGCTTAATTCGGAAGAATGTCGCATAAAAAATGCATGCTAATCAACTTATT